CGTGCCCATTAACTGAGGCAGGACCACTTTCTCACACTGAATTCTTATTTCAAATTAAAAGAGCACTTTTTGGTGAGTTAGATATTCTGAATTTTATTATAGTTTCATTGTTAATTAATTTCCCCTTTTAAAATACAATATTCAATATTGTGAAGCAGTCTGTAACCTGCTTGTCTATAATTGAATATTTGATATCACAGCCTACTGGTTTAAGTTTTGTAAAGTCACGAGACAACCAAAATAATTAATCCGTGATTTAGAGTGAGACCTCCTTGTCATTGGTCGTTGAATTTATTTATTTATTTTAGTAAAAAGTCGGTCGTTTACAATTGAGTGCATCTCTCATTAACACTAATTAAATAATTTGCCCATCGGTGCTTTCGTCCAGACAATATTTCGACAACTCCCCTTGTCTGAATAAAATTAACAGTGATCAGTATTTCATTTACAGGTCGTTACAAACCTTAAGTGTCACCAAATGTTGGCCACGTCATCCAGACAGGTAGAAAAAGATGAAGAGTCAAGTAACCCGGCTAGTTGTCACATTGAAATCAGAGAGCGCTTTTATCCCTTAGACTCTGGAATCTGTTGTGCTGGTAGAGAGAAATACCTCCCACAAAAGTGGATATTTGACTTCAGCAATTTACTGGCATGAATGTGCAAACTTTACCTGTTAAATAGTTAAATATTTTTCTGTGACAGTATCAAATATATACGAATACAATACATAATATATATATATATATATATATATATATATATATATATATATATATATAAGTAGCCTTATAGGCTTACAAAGTCACCAGCTTTACTAATAATTATATAAAAGCTTCTTGCGGACCATAATAAATGCAGTAGAAATAACCAGATGTGTAGAATATTCCGATTCACCAAGGTTGATTGGAGTATTAATGTGATCCTACTTTATCGTCTCAAATGCCTGCTTACTTGCACTTTTCTTTTAAACAGTGCAAATACTAGACGGTTATAGCCACTATAATATTACAAATTATAATCATTTTTGTTATTATACATACATTGCATTTTATATCATGTTAAAATTCCCTCCCGTTACAGTTCACATGGTGCCCGTCTTAGTGTTTTTATGCATTTTAATTGGTATTTAGGGTACAATAGGTAAATTCTTTTTAAGGGAAAAACATAAAGACGCTAGGGGACAATAGGAATCAATACATGTATGTTCAACGTAAGTTAGTGTCCGGGTGAAGGTATTCATTATTGTATTAAGTAAGAGAGAACGTGTACAAACTAGAAAAAGCACTCCGAGAGCGCAGACCTCCGNTAGACGGTTATAGCCACTATAATATTACAAATTATAATCATTTTTGTTATTATACATACATTGCATTTTATATCATGTTAAAATTCCCTCCCGTTACAGTTCACATGGTGCCCGTCTTAGTGTTTTTATGCATTTTAATTGGTATTTAGGGTACAATAGGTAAATTCTTTTTAAGGGAAAAACATAAAGACGCTAGGGGACAATAGGAATCAATACATGTATGTTCAACGTAAGTTAGTGTCCGGGTGAAGGCATACATTATTGTATTAAGTAAGAGAGAACGTGTACAAACTAGAAAAAGCACTCCGACAGCGCAGACCTCCGCTAAGGCAGCAATTTTTTTTTATTATTATTGATTATTGATTGATTATTGACCACCAAAAACTAATCACTTCTAAGGTAACCCATTTCTGACCTACCCTGAAAATTTCATCAAAATCGGTCCATAACTTTTTGAGTTTTTGAGACAGACAGACAAACAAACAAACAGACAAACGGGTGAAAACATAACATCCTTGGCGGAGGAAATTAACGTTTAATAATGTAGTAATATTTAGGACTACTGATGATCTGTTTCTGCAGTTGAATTGACGCTGAGTGCCACTACTAGTGTACTGAAACTCCACGAGCACTTTTAGAAATTACACTTGATATATATAAAAATAATAAAATAAAATAGAATAAAAGTAAAAACTCCTTGAAAATTAATATACCTGATAATGTACATAAAGAACATACTTATCTGCTTTGGGGAGTTCTATAATTATATTTTAGTTTATATAAAATAAGGAAAAAAATAACATAAGTCAGTGCACCGGCGGTGTGTACTAACACTATCTTTCACCGTCTGGTACGGTAGTGCTACAGCAGAGGACAAGAATCGCCTCAATCGCGTAGTAAAAACTGCCAGGCGCATTGTGGGTAGGGACTTGCCGTCTATTGAATGTTTGTATACGAGACGAGTGCTCAAGAAAGTGAAGTCAATCACGGGTGACCCTGGTCACCCAGCGAATAGCCTACTTATGCATATGTCAACAAGCCGACTACGGTCATTAAAAGCAACCTCCACGCGTACTAAAAATAGTTATTATCCATCAGCAGTACGTATTTTTAATGAACAAAATGTATTTTAATAATTCCACTGTATCACATTTTATCGACAGATCATACCAATTTTCATTTTATACTTGTATAAATATGACAATAAATTATTATTATTATTATTGAGGTGTGGAAACCTACGCCATAATTTAATTGGGGCGGATTTAGGCCGTCTTCTGGGTCTTCCGGAAGACGGTCAGATTTTCAAGTATACATTGACGGGTATCTATTTTTTCTGTCAGAAGACGGTCAAAAAATGGGGGATGGCGCAACAAAGATAATTTGCAAGACTGTCAGAAAATATATCTGGATCCTGCATAATTAAATTATGCACTATCAAACCATCACCAGCCCATATCTTCACAATGTGACTCTTTCTATGGTTTTCCAAGTTGGACTATCACCGCTTCAATAAACATTTCGATTGATTTCAAATTTTTTAATAAAATTAGATTTTAGTGTCGATTTGCGTCATGAATGTCATTACGTTGGCCCCTCGCCAATTTATGAAAAAGTAATAATGAGGTTAAGAAAATGATCACATCATTTTGTTAAGTGACTGTATCCAATAATACCAAGAAAGCATCAGTCGCACAAAAAGTTTTACCTAAGCGGTGAGTCCAAATCTCTGCATCTAAAAGTAACTTTATTAAAGAAATTTTAAAATCAATTTTCATAGGCTTGTGATCGAGTATAGCACATGTAAAGGGCATCGAACTAAAGCTATTTTTTTAAGTTTCAAAGAAATCATCGTAGTTCATTCTACATGTAGCACCAAAAATTGCTGCAATCATTTTAAAAAATGTGCACCCGGGGCTAGTTGGCCCCGTTGACTTGGGGCAAGTTGGACCCTCATATAGACCACAATCCTTTGTGCGCAACAGGGATACAGACCATTGTTAAAACAAAACAAATTAACGGTTTGTTAAATTAATGCCATGAATTGCTGAATTAATAATTTCACAGGCAATGCTTTCCTACCGTCAAATTTTCGTCTCTACTCAAGAGCCTTCCTCAGGACAAACTGCATGGTCATATGCGCTGGTCAGTTTCTTTTCAAACAAAAGTTTATTCATTAAAAACTTGTTTTATACTATTATCATTTTCCTCTTAAATAAAACAAAACAAATTTGATTGATAGATATTTGGGTTCTTGCAACACATGCAACGTAACGTATATAAACTTCAATATACGTGTATCTTTCGCATTTGAGCTACTTATTCAACAAAGACTCTAAAAATCAATTTAATAAAATAAAAGTGTGTAAAAATGTATTCCATGGTATTTTTTATAAATGAAAATGAAACAGTTATACCTAAAATAACTGCTATGTAAATGCAGTATTAAATAAAATTTTTCCGAATCAAAGCTCCAATGCTAATAAAGTTTTTCCAATGTCCTAGCGATGGGATGGGTTATTCTCTTTTCCTTCAAAGTTCAACGAAGTTCAACACTTAACTTAGCGTTTTCCATGCGGTGGAATATATGTCACTACGTTTTCTCTCTTTTTTTCAACATTCTATTAGGGGCCTACTATTGAAAAGCAAATAAAATTTTTAATGGATATATCAGCGCCTTTACATTCAAGTGTCTTTTAAAGGGATAATAACTCTTTGTTTTGGCAAAAAAAAAAAAAAAAAAAAAAAATTTTCCTGGAGTAAACAACAATTTTCCCATACTTACCAATGGTTATTGAATCCATTTTAACATTCAAAGTTAGTCCCTGGTTTTTTTCTAAAAAAGTTTGGTTTTTTGTTAAAATCTCTTAAGAGATTTTAACAGAGTACAGCCATCAATGGAGGTCACGTGATCTGAAGACAAGCTCAGATATCAGAATAATAGCTATAACTGCCGTTTTTGTGGTAAAACAGAATATATTATATTTCTATGAGTTGTTCACAATGTTTTTATTGTGAAATATAGATATCATACGAAGAGTTATTATCCCTTTAAATTGTCCAAAGGTACATGTATATGGTCCTTTCAATAAGCAGGTGTTTTTCTATTCCTACATGTATGTCTAATGAGACCTCATCGTTGCGATGTTTTCCTCACTTTTTGAGTGCGTTATGTCACTCTTTAGTCAACAATGGTGAAGTCATCACCAACATCGGTTTTAGACGAGATTTTTAAAAATTAATTTTGAAAGTGTCTTTAAGCAAGAAATTTTAACAATGTTAAACCAAGGAGTTATAACTCCTTGGTTAAACCACCTAGCTTAAAGTGCAAAGAATTTCTGGTCTAACGTGCCCCATACTTATTTATCCCATTCAAACGACAAATTAATTTTCGTATTTTCTTTTCGGTTGGTGCGTATTTTTTTATGATAAAATTAGTGTGTACAAATGTATGCAGGTGCGTCAGGGTTCTGAGTGACAACAACAATACCACAATCATTAAAACTATAAAATTTATCACTAAGTGCAAGATTGTAAATAACAGTGTATGTAGATCACGTGCAACGACTTGAATTTTGTTCAGTATTAAGGAAAGCCAAGTATCATCGCACAGTGATCAGTGCTCCAGCATCATACATGGGGGAGTAGCTTGTGCGCGCGAAACCTCAGCGCCTCCTATCGGAAAATCCCACAGCCTGTGTTAAAAGTTGCATGCACACCATGCATGTGTTCAGACGCTTGTTTCTTTCTCCAAGGGAAGTTTCATTGGGTAAAGAACACATTAGAAGGTAAGCTAACATGATAATGAAACGATGCACTAGTATTTCTAAGCTTGCACCAATGAGAAGGCGCTGTATTTGTCTTTGGGCTTTCAGCACTGTTTTCTCGACTCCTACAACCTTTCTCTAGTTTCTTGTTTCCATCATATTTATCGTTGTACTTCACCTTGACCAGTTAATGGGTCTAAAAACCACAGAATCTACTTACAATGTTATAGTAATCTACCTCAGTTTTAAAATATTGAAGTGTATTTGATTGAAATTCGTTTTCCGTTTCAAAATTTCGAGGCTATTCAAATCTCGAATCTTGTGCTGTACTGACTTCGATATTATTTTTAGCTCTGACCCGTGGATTTTTATGTCTTAATTTCTGTGTGTCTAGGTGATTTATAAAGTGAATGCAAATTTCACGAGTCATTCAGTTATAGTAGCAGTGTGTTTTTAATGCTCTCGCTTTTTTTGTGATGACGGGATCAGGTCCCCCGTGCAGATAAATTAAATTCGTTCGTTGGGGTCGCCATCTGGTTTTAATCAGTGTTTCGTTTTCATCACGGCAAGGCGTGTGCGGTCGTGCTTTTGTCCATTTAAAATTTCTAGAGAGTGTTCTGCTACAAATGTACTTTTTGCATCCTTTTATCCTTGCATATTTTGCTTTTGATTCATGTAGAGAGTAATAATACAAAGATTTAGAGAGAAATACTTGTCACTGTGGATGATGCTAATTGATATGCAGAAGTTCACAGTCAATCTTTGCCTCTGGCTAGATGCGTATTTGAAGTTGAGCTTTAGTCAGTCCTGTTTGCAATATTTTAGACTCCACTTGTCATTTGACAAAGAGCTTCCCTTGGCTCAGAGCTACAAGGCTGCAGTGTGTGAAGAGCTGGGGAAACCACTTGTTGTGAAAGATGTGGCATCACAGGAAGAGTTGAAAAGAGGGGAGGTAAGCATTTTTTAAGAGTAAAAATTTGGGGGTCATGTTGATACTCCCCTGCACCGTTACTCCCCCGTACCGATACGACCCCACACCGATAGATCTCCGCGCCGGTACATCCCTGCACCGATACTTCCCCGCACCAATACTCCCCCTCAGTACATCTGTGATTGTGGAGGGAGTATCGGTGTAGGCATGTAACCAAAATTTGAACTATGGACTTGCTGTTAGACAGCTTGAGTAAATTTTTCTTATTGGGACATCATATATTTATTTTTGTATATATCATGAAGGGTCGGAAAGCTTCATTCCAGGGGCAGATTCAGACATGTTTTCTGACTCTCCTAAATCATATTTGTTGATCCATCCTCCATTTTTGAAAGTCTTCGGACAAAAAAGTTAGATGCCCGTTAGTGTTAACTTGAAAATTTTCTGTCTGCCCCTGCATTACTAACATGCTTCGTTTAATGCGCGCACACACACACACACACACACACACACACACACACACACACACACTGTCACTTCACAATAAACTTCAGAAGTTGGACCTCGAAAAGAAAAAATTAAATGATGCATGTACTAAAAAAATAATAATAAATAAACAGAAAAAAGGGCAAGACATGCTTGTAGATTATAAGCTGGTATTTTGTACTATGGTCTACAGGTTTGTGTGGAGGTTCACAATGCAGGGGTGAACTTTGCTGATATCCTGATGTGTAGTGGACAGTACCAAGTGAGGCCAGATCTACCCTTTATTCCTGGTGAGATAATATATGAATATCTTTGATTTTCTGCAAAATTAATCCACTTATTAGGACTTCATTCACTCTTAGAAATTTTAAGAAAGAATAGAATCTTTTATTCATTTGTATGCTTTTGTTCAAGAATTTCAAATTTCGTGTAATATCTGAGTTCTTGACATTGCTTTCCTCATGCTGTTAAATTTATGCCAAGTCTTGCAGCTTGAATTTTTTGCTCAATATATGGCAATAGATATGCACCAAAACAGCACACATAAAAAACTGTAGCAGCTTCTGCTTTGGTGGTTCATTCCATCTCATTTCTATTACTCAAGTGAGAACTCTGAAGCTAAATTTAATTTTTTTTGTTAAATTGGGAACAAAGAATTTTAATGAATAAAACTACTTTGTGTGCTAGTCTGGGCCAGTATCTGTATTTTAGCTCTTCATGAATATTAGGTGAACTTCATATCTTAGATCTAAATTACATTGTCTCTGTATTTTTAGGTGTGGAAATATCGGGTCTGGTGATGAAAGTAGGCGAAGGTGTCCATTCCTTCAGACCAGGTGATCGTGTCATGGGACTGACGGGAGTTCTAGGTGGAAAAGGTGGATTTGGACAAATGTGTGTGACACATAAAAAGGTTTGTTTAGGAATGTATCTATTTATAGACACTGGAGACTCGTCCTTCAAGACATTGACACTGTAGAGAAATGGACGAAAAACTGGAACTTTTTTCTCGCTGTTTTTTTTTTGACATGTTTTGCTTAAACCACCTGTGTTGTCAGGTGAATCCTGAAGTTTGATACAAAGTATCAGGTGCAATTTTTATTAAACATTTGTTTACAATACAAATAGTAGTTAAGCTGTAAACAAACAAAAAAGATCCTCCAATTAACTTTTTTTTTCTTTTGACAAGTTTGTCTTTCTTTTTCAGCTTCTTTGGCATATCCCAGAAGTTCTACATTATCGTCCTGCATCAGGGCTTCTTGCATCTTACGGCACCGCCATGATGGCGCTACAGAGAAGAGCACGGGTTGTGGCAGGGTAGGTGCGAGATATTTATAGATCTATTACTGTCATAGAACTTCCTCCTCATCCCACAGTTGTAACGCAAAAAAGAATTTCATCAGCTGTGTTTTAAATAGATGACTATGCTGTAGATAGACATTAATATATGGAAGGTACAGTGTTTGACCTTCGTTTGAAATAGTACAGGCCAATTTGGCCAGTGTGCTCTGAAAGTTACTGGCCAAACCGAAAATGCACAAGCCAGACTTTGGCCAGCTTTATTACGAAGTTACTGGCCAAATATTCAAAGTGCAGGCCATGTGGTAATGACTCATGATGGAGATGTTATCATATGCAAATAAAGAAAAAAAATTTAAAACCTTTTTTTAACCTAGAACTGTGTTTATTCTTTAGTCTACAGATTTTGCACATTCTAATCTAAATTAAACATAAACTATATGCATATTTATTTACCCCACTTTACCTAGAGATACTTTGATTAGATTTTTAATAAAATTTTCTGTACTTGTACTCCGTGAACATAATTTGTTTAATGAAATTCATATTTTGTATCTTTAAGTTGCATCATCACACCAAGAAATATTCATACAATAGATGCAAGGATTTAAGCTTCATGCTCTTTACTATATATTTGTACATAAATATATATTCTTTGGGGGGAATCGGCCGGGGTGAAATTGTCCTGATACCGATGAAGAGATAAAAGTCAGTATAAAGATCAATTTTGTCTTAAAAACTGCTCCACATCCTTCTCAGTCATTTCATTGTCTTCATCTGAATCCCTATAACAGTCATCAAACCCCTCATCACTGTCACTGCATCCCTTTTTTCAATTCTTGGTGTTTTTGGTTTGGTACCTGCAATTTTTAAGTGCCAAGTTTATTAAAGACTACCAACACAATCACTGAGTCAGACATAATCAATTACTGGTACATGTGAAAAAGAGCTAAACATTTAACAACGTTAAAATCAACAATTGGGACAAACAAGTAGACCATTCAGATATGGGGTCTTAATAAATATATATATATATATATATATAGAAATACTCGTTTCAAAATAAATATTAAAATGAGGTTAAATTAAGCACTATCATTGTTAGAGAACTTGTGATATTCAGGGTGAACTCCGTAAGTCGCACTGACGGAGATGCAGTCGGTGAACTGCTGAAAACCTAACGAGATTGTTAAAAGATTCAATTGTATCCGAGTTGAAATAAAATTCATTATTTTGTATTATTTGTATAGTATTGCACTGTACTGTAATAGCGTGCGCTAGGTAATTCAAGTTCTCTTACCCTAGCACGTTGCACGTCGCACGCATTTAAACCCCCCCCCCCTTTTTGCTTTTTTTGTTCCGCTCAGGAAAAAAATCAGAAAACGTCAAAAACATGCATTGGGTTTTGATTTTGTTTACTTACCACTTGAAGTTGAAGCCGATTCTGCGACGCTCTCACTCTCAGTCTCTTCTACTTGGCGTTTTGAAATTTTTAAAAACTGCTCCATGCAGCTTGATGATCACGTTTTCTCCCGGAAGCGTCAACTGCGCAGAATCGCAAGACGTAAGTGAAACGAAACAGACAGCATTTCCTATACTTCGTCAAAATCCGGCGCGCAAACGAAGGCTAGATGCTTTCAAAAACGACATCGAGACTGTGAATACGTCATTACGGAATTCCCCAACTTCAAGCAATCACGATTATGAGAGTGAAAACGAGGTTAGCAGTAAGGGTAATCCCATGAACTTCCCTGCAAATTTTGGCATACGAGTCGGACTTAAATTGAGTCTAAATTTTGCCGATAAACTTAATACAGTAAGTTGACATAAATCGCCAAAATGGCGACTTGCACCATAATTTTCACTCGCCAGATTTAATTTTAACTCGCATTGGCGAGCTGGCGAGTGCGAGTGTCAAACGCTGAGGTATAATAAACAATTTTAACACTTGCTGTTAATTAAAGGAAAGGTAGTGCTAAATTCATCACTTTGACACTTTCATTATGTATTTATTTATTAGAGAGACAGTGTTGGTGTTGGCAGCAGCAGGAGCTACGGGACTGGCAGCAGTAGATATAGCAGCTAATGTATTTAAAACAAATGTTAGTTCCTATAAATTATTTCAAGGAAATTATTTTCAAAAAGAAATATGTGCTATTGCCTTTAACACTGAACCACCATCAGAATATCAATTATTCTTTTGTATTTTATTTATTTAATGACTTTTACAATGAACGACCATCAAAATATCTGTTATGTGTTTATGGTGTACTGGAAGACATTTGCTGTTAAAATACTAACTGATAAAAGCATTGCTTGTGATGGTTTCTTCAGGTTATTGCAGCCTGTGGCAGCTCAGAAAAATGTGCGCTGGCAAAAGCCAAGGGAGCTCATCACTTGATCAATTACAGTGAAGAGTCTCTGAAGGAGCGGGTTCTCGATATAACAAGTGGAAGAGGTGCTAATGTTATATTTGACCCAGTTGGGGGAGAGTTTTTCAAAGATGCTCTCAAAAGGTAGGAACGAATTTAAAAAAAACATCGATGCCTGGAGATTTACCATTGCTCATTTCTTTTAAAGCAGACAGACACTGTGTTTTAGTATTAACTAAATTCTACACTGTGTTTGTTGGAATGGCAGAAATAAACTTTAAAAAATAATAAAAAATTAAAAATACACTGTTGATAAAATAAAAAAGAATTAAAGACTCCTATTACCAGCTCATTAGACATTACCCAGCTGAACTCAGATACTGAATAATTACTTGAAAAATCCACCACAATTTTCATTCTCATACATAATTTAAAGATTGCTAAATGTGGAATTTGCACACCTTAAGAAGATGTTACAAGAAGTTCATGCTGGACTGTTTATTCAGCATATTTGTATAGCTCAAAGTTTTGTCTAGTTGACAAGACAAAAAAGTAAACCAGGAATAATGGTGTTGAGACTGGATAATCACTTAACCATGACAATGGAGGTTTTGGCTTTGTTTTGGAAAAGAAATAGTAGTTTCTCAACATTTTAGGTCAGCTGTTGAAAGATGAGCTTCAGTAATGTTCTTAATTATAATATAATATAATATAATATAATATAATGTCATAGTTTTTATTCTGCAATTCAGCATTGAGATTAATTCTGAAGTAGAACAAGCACTGGTTGATGCACACATCATTCTTCACGTTTCAGCATCGCGGTAGAAGGACGACTGGTTGTGATAGGCTTTGCATCTGGTGACATTCCTAAGATTCCTGCCAATGTTTTACTCCTCAAATCCTGCTCCGTCATGGGCCTGTACTGGGGCAGCTTTATTCAGCATAATCCTGGTGCCTTTACGGACTCTGTAGATAAAGTAGTGGAAAGTGTGGACAGGGGGAAGATTAGGCCGCATGTTTCCAAGATGTTTCCGCTAAACAAGGTAATACATCATGAAGGCGTGATAGTGAATCACCTTTTTCTGCAGGAATTCTCTCATATATGTCCCTTTGTTCTGTGTAAATTTTGAATGTCTGTTATTGATTAATAACTCCGTAATTCATGAAGGTGATTATTTTTAAGGACAACTAAGACATTAAATTGAGTTAATCTCTCAGATGATTTATAAAGATTGCATGTTGAAGTATTATAATAAATATTTAAATTATTTTTATTTTTAGGTTAATGAAGCTTTTGATTACATCAAATCTAGGAAATCCACAGGAAAAGTCATCCTGGACGTAACAAGAAGTTCTTTACCAGCTGACAAAATAATTTGATCCCCAGGGTAGGGGCAATATAGTTCAGTGTTTTATCTATATAAATATATATAAATGTATATACCACTATATTGAAATACATAATATATGTGAATATGTATTGTCATTTGCAATATCTGTGCATTTACTCCCTGATGTTTAGGGAGTCTTATTATGTATATATGTATAAACCTGGAATCTTAGGACTTGGATCAAATAGTATGGTGCCAGTACTAATTAAGCCTGAATGCTATGATAATCAGGGTGCTGATTTGAATGGTATGCAGGTTAGAGTCATAGAGGAACACTTAGATATTTATGGTTTGATAATCAGGGTACGCATTTCTATTGATATCATCTTTAGTAGAAAGTTGAGCACCATGAGTGTTTAGTTAAGTATTTATAGTTCAGAATTTTTCTTACAACACTGCAGACTTATGAAGGTGATAGCTTTTATTTTTGTACTGTGAATGAACTTGTCTTAGTGCAGGTTTTAAGTGTAGTATTTGCATGCTGTATTTGAACATCCACAAGTGATATCATAAGAAATATTACACATGGTTCACTAATATTATTTATTTATTTATTTATCATTTCACATTGCCATCTGCATGCTGTTGTTGAACATCCACAACGGCTATCCTAAATTTTTTTTTTTTTTTTGAAAAAGTTTCATATTTTCACAGCATACCATGTTGGACCTCCATTTCAGAAATTTGAAATGGTGGACCATTTTCCAGTTATTTGATAATTTGAGTTCCCCTGAACACAACCAGAGTCTCTGTGATTTTAATACTGGTGGTAGTTATAGTAGTGTATATCTACATCTGATATTTAAAATTGATATTTTACACCGATGCATAACACTTCCTAGTGTAAGTCTCCTCCCCCTTTCACCGATCCTCGTTCACTCACATGTTGCTTTCTTGGGTGGTCATTATGATACAGAACTGCCCTCTGTGGCCAATGTCCACATTGGTTGATGCAAGTTAACGTTTCTGTTAACAGGTAATAATAGCCATCCACATCCAGCACTTGGCGTGCTCTTCTAAGAAGCCCAGCTATGGTTTATTGGTGGCCACCACACTCCTCATTTGGACACTGTAGCCTGACACGCCAAATCCTATATGGCATCCAAACCATAAAAGGTCAGCTGAAGAAGCGATCCGGGTTGGGTGGGTTGTGGTACACTGGCAGAGGCTAAGGGGGGTTGTGCCAGAGTTGTAGGTTGTCTACTAACTCTGCTTTCCCAGATGCACTGGTTTTGAAGTTTGCTCTCTTTATCCACCTTGTCTTTCGTGGTGGAATATTGTTGTTCCACTGACCTTGTAGATAATATGTTTCTGCAAAAGAGAAACCGTTTATGAAAGTAGGATGTGCATATATATATTGTTGATCCTATAATTTATATCTGTTCGCTAACTGAATCCACAATTTTTCCTCGAATTCACCAGTTCCACATTCATGCACATCACCATGAAGAAGAGAATTTTTCTTCTTCATTGATCTGCAGTACCAACACACCAATCCTGGAGTCATACTCCATGGCAAATGAACAGATTTCACATGGCATCCTAGATGTCTATGTAGGTCTGGATTGGACTCGAGCACATAGGTATTGAGGTTGAACTCTCCAGGTTCATGTGCTCCTCTGTCCCAAAGGATTTAACAGTCATCTAGGTACTGTTTCCATGAATTTTCTAAATGTTCTCTAAAATATTTTAAAATTCTCTGTTATCTGGTCAGGGATGTATCTCTGGGAACCCGTTAGGGATCAGAAAATAAAATAAAATTATTGCCACCAGTGTGGCTTAATCTGGTTAAGAAAGGCACAGCACATAAATCAGTTTTCTTCGTTTTATTTCCTGAGAATGCTACACTTTACAAGTCCCATCTATCGGTATCTAGAACCAACTGTGTGCTGTACTTTCCTCTCTACTGCTGTAACCATATGCTGCTTAAAGTCTAAAATGTATACTGGCAAATGTTAAATTGTCACACTCTCTCCCTCTAAGTTTACTGATTCCTCCTGGAGTCTGGTCAATTAAACTACTAAAAATCATTCAACTCTCAAAATATTCTTAAACAATTTAAAGCAATTAAAATCCATTTAATTCATAGTTACTGTAATTCTTTCAATTGTTTACTGTCACTTTGATTAATAATAACATTCACTCTTAAAGTATATAATTGGATTAAAATAAGTCATTTAAAGTTCATTGTTTAGTTTATAAAAATCAACCTGGAGTTTTTGGACAGTCTGTTCCCTTCTGATGGGCATCAGGGGCTGCTTTCTCTAAATGGTCACCTTCTTTCGTTTTTTGAGGACAGTGTTTTATATGTTTCCAAAGGTCTCCTTTTTTTTAAAGAACGTTAAACAACGTGAGTGTGGAACACATGATCCAGCATCTTCTTGAACAGTTGATCTTCTATGTGGTATTATTTTCCCATCGCTATCTTTTAGTATCGTACTTTAACGTTGTGAGCATAATTCCTTTTGTTTCTAAGAGCATCCAGTCTCCCATGGCAGTGTCTTTTGCAGGTATCCTTAAGTATGGAGGGAGTCCCCTTGGCAGTCTTAATTTGCATTTTTGGAACTAGCATTATACTTCTGAACTACTATATTAGAAATCTATATAATAGAGATATTGAAGGTCACCTGCCATTGAGCGAATGATAGCTGGGTGCTTTTCTTGGAAACCGGTGAATAGACTATGGCCATGTTTCCCTCTGCATCTGTCTTCCTTTTTTGAACGAATTGTTACTCCTCCGCTTGGTCACAGGTAGTAAATGCATTGGAATGAGGTGATAGCAGGTCCCGGAAAGATACATACTCATTATTCAAAATTTTTGCTTGTAAGGAGGTTGACAAATGGCTGTCCAGTGGGGTCAGAGGGGTAATCAGTGATCTGCCCTGTGTTGTAGTGTGATCTGGCTGCGATACATGTTGACTATGGAAAGAAATGGGCTGGTTACTGGAGGCCTGAGTTGAGGTCAAAAGTGGGGATGAAAGCTTGGTAAAGATATAAAAAAATTTTAGAATACAACAGTATTCCTTGGCATACTTTTCTTTCTTTCTTGATGGGTAAATTCTTGGTAAAGATATAAAAAAATTTTAGAATACAACAGTATTCCTTGGCATACTTTTCTTTCTTTCTTGATGGGTAAATTCTTTCCTGTCTTTTCTCCTTCGCGGTTATTGTCTGATCTGCACCCTTGTTATTATGTTGTGCCCACGTGATAGGATTCGGGTTACTGATTGGTCCAATGCCTCGTGCTTTGTCATGACCCAGAGATAGTTAATGCATGCACAGGGACACATAAGACATTGATAGGGATGATTCCCATATAAAAATATATTGCTTTATAAAGGAAATTATAGTTAATTTACAAGAATTTCTGTATTTAGCTTCCTGCCTTTAAAATAGTCAGATCTATGTATAACCTGACAGACAGTAATATGCTTAACACCAGTCCTATGGATGGTGTTAATGAGGTCGACCATCCAACCACAGGATCTCAAGAGGAAAGGTCATTTGTACCAAGTTCAAGAATTACAACTGGAGGTTGTGAGGAGCGAAGAGAATGAAGATACTGAGAACGAAACTGTGGGAGAGTGGTGCCACCTCTTCCATGAAGAACGACATAGCAGCAGGAAACAGAAGCATGAGAAGGAGGGGTATAAAAAAATCACTGAGACAGGTAACAAAACTGTGGCCAGCGATACAAACAACGGGTAGCATAGTAAAGGTAAATTGACGACAAGTGAAAGGAGCAAAAAGGACAGGAAAAAAGAAAAAAAAAACAAAGCTAAAATAAAAAGAAACATGGATGGAAGCAACAATAATGAACAAATGGACAGAAATATTAACTCACAAGTAACTGCTGTAAAGGGAGTAAATAGTAAACACCCAAGTATTTGCTGTGAATATGTGATTATCACCTCCCACACGGTTTATGAAAATGGAAGTTCTTGAAGTCAAAATGAGACTGATATGCGGTTATGGCGAGTGTGAGTTGTTACGCAAAGTGTCATAATTCACTATCTGAGAGGTTTCATAATTCCTCGAGATGGATCTCACTTTACAAACTGTTTTCTCCTTTTCGTTAATGTACCCGTAGTTTGTCGGGCCAGCTGAAATGAACGTGGTGATGTGTTCCCCCTCATTTAGCTTGTTGGTAAAGTTGCCAAGGTAGCTGTCCAGGATGCTGGATACTCATAGACAGTCTTTGTTTGAGATGCCCATCCATCAACAATATACTTTCCTATTTTCTTTTTCCCCTGATTATGAGCATGGTGTATAAAGACATTGTCACACTCCGACATATTCCTCAGCTATTTAGCTGCTTTCACGGACATTTTGTTTTTTGGCTTATACCCTAGTGCTAGAATAATGCCAATCGTGTTTTCCTTAAGAAATAAGGATCTGAACACAACATTGCACGAACTGGCAATAGTGATAGATTTGTAAAACACATCAATTTCCTCACATTTCTTGCTTGTTATATCAAGCATCAATTTCCTGAATCTGAGACATGCTTGCCGAAGGATGATGACATCCATGCAGCAGTATCTGAGCATTTCTTTTTGGAAATCAAATGGATAGTTTTGGCTGACTAGATCAGTGTGCTATTCACTGCACTACCAGACACTGGCAGACAGTAAGACACCCCTGTAATATTTAGTCAGGGCTAGACACTAACTTTTATGAGCACCTGTCCTTTGGACAGGTGGTCACAAATTTGACCTGTCCGATTTTCAAACCAACCTGTCCAACAAAACCAATATTTTTTTTTTCCTATTCATACCCAGAACTTTGTAAATTAATATGTGTAGTCATACATTTAATGTATTTATTACCAAAAAACTCAATCAAATGAGCTGGGAAAATGCACCTTAAAGTGAATTTATTTTAAGGTAAAAAGTTGTTTTTTCATACTTGTGAACTCTGAAGATTAAATCTTGCATAAAAGGCTGTATTCCCAGAGCTTTTAGATCGATCTATCCCCGAGGGGAGTCTCACTAGATTACTGTCAGATTATCCGGCTTAAATGTCCGTCCCGCCNGTTCCAGCATCTTCTTGAACAGCTGATCTTCTATGTGGTATTATTTTCCCATCGCTATCTTTTAGTATCATACTTTAACGTTGTGAGCATAATTCCTTTTGTTTCTAAGAGCATCCAGTCTCCCATGGCAGTGTCTTTTGCAGGTATCCTTAAGTATGGAGGGAGTCCCGTTGGCAGTCTTAATTTGCATTTTTGGAACTAGCATTATACTTCTGAACTACTATATTAGAAATCTATATAATAGAGATATTGAAGGTCACCTGCCATTGAGCGAATGATAGCTGGGTGCTTTTCTTGGAAACCGGTGAATAGACTATGGCCATGTTTCCCTCTGCATCTGTCTTCCTTTTTTGAACGAATTGTTACTCCTCCGCTTGGTCACAGGTAGTAAATGCATTGGAATGAGGTGATAGCAGGTCCCGGAAAGATACATACTCATTATTCAAAATTTTCGCATGTAAGGAGGTTGACACATGGCTGTCCAGTGGGGTCAGAGGGGTAATCGGTGATCTGCTCTGTGTTGTAGTGTGATCTGGCTGCGATACATGTTGACTATGGAAAGAAATGGGCTGGTTACTGGAGGCCTGAGTTGAGGTCAAAAGTGGGGATGAAAGCTTGGTAAAGATATAAAACATTTTTAGAATACAACAGTATTCCTTGGCCTACCTTTCTTTCTTTCTTGATGGGTAAATTCTTTCCCGTCTTTTCTCTTTCGCGGTTACTGTCTATCTGCACCCTTGTTTTTATGTTGTGCCCATGTGATTGGATTTGGGTTACTGATTGGTCCAATGCCTCGTGCTTTGGGTCATGGTAGTTAATGCATACGATGGGGCATATGAGAAATTGATAGGAATGATTCCCGTATAACAATATATTGCGTTATAAAGGAAATTATAGCTAATATACCATAATTTCTGTATTTAGCTTCCTGCCTATTAAACAGTCAGATTTATGTATAACCTGACAGACAGGAATACGCTTAACACCAGTCCAATGGATGGTGTTAATTAGGTCGACCATCCAACCACAGGATCCCAAGAGGAAAGGTCATTTGTACCAAGTTCAAGAATTACAACCTGAGGTTGTGAGGAGCGAAGAGAATGAAGATACTGAGAACGAAACTGTGGGAGAGTGATGCCACCTCTTCCATGAAGAACGACAGAGCAGCAGGAAACAGTAGCATGAGAAGGAGGGGTATAAAAAAATCACTAAGACGGGTTACAAAACTGTGGCCAGCGATACAAACAACGGGTAGGGGCATAGTAAAGGTAAATTGACGACAAGTGAAAGGAGCAAAAAGGACAGGAAAAAAGAAAAAAAAAACAAAGCTAAAATAAAAAGAAACATATGGATGGAAGCAACAATAATGAACAAATGGACATAGATATTAACTCACAAGTAACTGCTGTAAAGGGAGTAAATAGTTACCACCCAAGTATTTGCTGTGAATATGTGATTATCACCTTCCACACGGTTTATGAAAATGGAAGTTCTTGAAGTCAAAATGAGACTGATATGTGGTAATGGCAAGTGTGAGTTGTTACGCAAAGTGTCATAATTCACTATCTGAGAGGTTTCATAATTCCTCGAGATGGCTCTCACTTTACAAACTGTTTTCTCCTTTTCGTTAATGTACGCGTAGTTTGTCGGTCCAGCTGAAATGAACGTGGTGATGTGTTGCCCCTCATCTAGCTTGTTGGTAAAGTTGCCAAGGTAGCTGTCCAGGATGCTGGATACTCATAGACATCAACAATATACTTTCCTATTTTCTTTTCCCCCTGATTATGAGCATGGTGTATAAAGACATTGTCACACTCCGACATATACCTCAGCCATTTAGCTGCTTTCACGAATGTTTTGTTTTTTTGGCTTATACCCTAGTGCTAGAATAATGCCAATCGTGTTTTCCTTAAGAAATAAGGATCTGAACACAACATTGCACGAACTGGCAATAGTGATAGATTTGTAAAACACATCAATTTCCTCACATTTCTTGCTTGTTATATCAAGCATCAATTTCCTGAATCTGAGACATGCTTGCCGAAGGATGGTGACATCCATGCGGCAGTATCTGAGCATTTCTTTTTGGAAATCAAATGGATAGTTTTGGCTGACTAGATCAGTGTGCTATTCACTGCACTACCAGACACTGGCAGACAGTGAGACACCCCTGTAATATTTAGTGTCGTGCATCTTACCCCTATAGTCTTGGTTTTCAGGGTTGTTAAAGAAGTGGGGAAAATAGCCCTTAGAAAGGGACTCATTTTGGCCACATAGTTCACATGTACTGGTTGGGGTTACATCTAAATTCAGACAATGGTGCCATTCCCTGTGAGCGACCACGAGGTTAGGGGTATGTACATGTGATAGTTTCGCCTCAAAATAAAAAAAAATGAAAGGACATTTTAAGGCAGGTTTGATCTTCCCAGTGCATTCTCATTGATGTAATGAAGCAAATCATCTTCGTCATTAACATAAAAAAAAAATCTTCATCATCAACATCTTTCTCAATTTGCATGTAACACCTGTGACCATCTTCCACAAACTTGTGAGAAGTCCTGCTCTTGAAAGTGTAACAGTTGCTTTTCCTCGTGTCGATGATGGACAAATTTGGTGCACTTTTTACAGAGAGTAAACCGTTCACAGACAGACTATTTACCAATTTCCGGCATAAGTTTATGATTGCAAAAACAACAGTGCGAGAGGAAATTTCTGTTACAATCATCGCAATG